CTTCCTTGGAGTTCACAGGCCAGTGGATAAAACACACCCATTGGCAGTGTGAGGCCCATACGTGTCCATAGATCTTGTTTGGATGGATGGATGGATAGTTGCATGGATGATTAGCACTGATGCAAGTTATAGGACATTCTGGTGGAGGCAACTGTAAATTACCCAACCAAAACACGTGCTAGGGGCAGGGGAGTAGGCAGCTAACAACAGCTGGCATCATCCCCAGAAGTTGGCACATTCTTAAGGTCACCACAGTACCATCTCCACGAGTTTCTTGGATTGTTCATTTGATTTTAGTGGGAGAAATCTCATAGACCATAAAATCCTCCCCCACTCCCATTTTACAAAGGAAGAAACTGAGACAACTCACAGAGGAAGGCACTTCCGTCCAGTTGGCCAAGACTTGGGGTGAAATGGCAGATGGCCCAAGTAGCTGCCCACATGGGCAGGCTGGGCAGAGCACCCACTATGCTGTTTAACAGGGTCACACGACAAACCAAAAATAGTGCTGAAAGTTGACCTGGGGGAATAGCCTGGGAGGAGGTCAGCTGTGGACTCTAGCCAAGGCAAGCTTGTTAAGCCTGGAGCCAGTACCATCCCAAAGCAGGCTTCTTCCTAAACATTTCCACTAAGAATCTGCATTCCATTATACCCAGGACAACAACCTCAACTGCACAGCCCCACCTGGCCTGGGGCTGTGCCATTGGATGGGGCAGGACAAAGGGAACATGGGTGTGGCTGCTCCAGTAGCAGGGACGCAGAGGTGAGCTCCCAGCAAGGGCAGAGGGTGCCTAGGGTACCAGAATGGAGGCCACCTCTTCTCTTTGTCTTGGGCAGTTAGGAGAAGTCAGAGGGGCACAGTAAGTTTTCCTTTGCTAAACTAATGATGAGGCCAGGCACCAAAGACAGTAACAGGAGTGAGGGCTCATCCATCATTTTTCTTCCTTTTCATTTAGAAACTCACCTTTTGGGAGGAGGCAAAGTTCTTTTGTCTGCCCCGGGGGCCTTGGGACACCTCAATCAGCTGATGCTTAAAAATCAGTCCTCCAGGATTGCCAGACCCACCTGATTTCCTTAGAAGGACTGTTTTCTTTTCTTTTCTTTTTTTTTTTAAGTCTCTGAGTGATGTTAGAAGGGATTGCTGAGTACCTACCCGTATCGAGTCTTCCCCCTCCCCCTTTGGGCATCCCAACTCTGAGGGCTGCTGGGCTTGGTCCTCCAGGTACAGCTGAGTCATTCTGATGAATGGCTCCCCTTCATCTCTCAGGTGCACCTGAATCCGAGGAGAGAGAAGCCTGGCCATCTTCAGGTTGGAGGACAAGTCTAGTGGCTTTGAAAAATGTTAGCCAGAAGGCCCTCTTCTGCAGTGCCCGCAGAAGCTGGGCATCCCAATTGTCCTAAAGGAAAATTCCCTGACAGGTAATGGCCTCCTGCTTGTTCTAAGTCAACTGAAGCCATGATGCTGGTCCCAAAGAGACTTACAGTTTTAGGCTGAGGGAGGGTCCCCACACAGGACCCACAGTTCATTAAAAATTTTTTTTGGGGGGGCTTGGCAATGAGGTTAAGTGACTTGCCCAGGGTCACACAGCTAGTAAGTGTCAAGTGTCTGAGGTCAGATTTGAACTCAGGTCCTCCTGACTCCAAGGCTGGAGCTCTATCCACTGTGCCACCTAGCTGCCCCAAGACCTAGAGTTCATGTTGGACACCTCTTATATCTGATTTTTTTCCCGCCTTTGGCATAAACAGGAGACTGAACCACACCTGTGTATCAGTCTAGGGTGATGTAGGTCCTAGAATCCATGAGCCGGGCTGGGACTCAGAGGGTATTGGGCCCAGCCTCTCGCTGGGGGCTGAGGGCCCCTTTCTTATGGCCATGTCAATGGACTGACCAGCTGCTCTGGGATCTCTTTGGTCTTATGACCAGTCCTTCACATGGCTACACTCACCCAGCTTTGTATCCTCCATCTACCAGTGTCCACTGCCTAATATCTTCCAGCTCAGTGGGCAGCTTGGGGCTGGTGCCGGTACGTGGTGAGAATTTGAACTCACTGGGTCCATCCACCGTGCCCTCTGTAAGACCCTCTTCTAAGCCTTCATTGAATCCTAGGGATGGCTCTTGACTCCTAGTTCTTTGGGGGGCAGGTTCTTTGCCCAAGGCAGGTCCCAATTTCCCCATTATTCCCAAAGGGCTGCAGGGGGAGAAAGAGATCTTGGAGCTGGCCAGTAGTAGGCAAAGTCTCTGAGACTGTCTCTCTTCTCCCAAAGTCTGGCCATCCTTTAACATGAATGTGGTTGAGGGAGGGGGTGGGGAGGAGAGAATGGGGGAGGGCATCAGACTTACCTTGGATTTCTCAGTATTTCAACATAGGTCTAGGCTATAGTTTTAAAATGAGGATGCAGGGAAAGAGATAAAAGGAGCCCTCTGGGGCCTAAAAATCTGTACCCCCTCATGTGAAAGCCAAGAGGGTCTCTCATTCTGCCTCTGAATGTGTTTGTGCTGAGCACCTCTGCAGGTGGGGGATCTGGTGAAAAGGCAAAGGTGGTCCTGGTTCTCTGGGAGCTTACAATCAGGGAAATGAAAAAGCACACCCAGGGCTACTGAGTGGCCAGCCCTGTGGGGCTAGGCTACCTGCAGGTGCCACAGTGCACAGGGTGTGGGCTGGGGAGCTGGATCATCTGGGTTTGCAGCCCAGCTTTGCACCGTGCTCCTTGTGTGGCCCCGAACGCACTGGATGTCTCTGACCTTCTGTGTAAAATGACCCTATGTGGCCTCTCAGTCCCTTCCGACTCTGAATTTCTGATCCTTCCCTCCACAGGTCCTCAAGGCAGGGCCCACCAGGCTACCCAGACTCTGTAGTTGAGGTTGGGGGTCCATGAAGCTTCCTACCCGTGGGCTGGAGGGGAAAAGGGAAAGGGAGGCCTGCGTCCTAGAACAAAACAGTCAGAGGAAGGGAAAACCCCCAGGCCTTCTCCTCCCCACCCCCTCCAGTGCCCCGGGCGTCTAGGGAATGGCAAAGAAGCAAGCAGCAGGGGGTGGGGTGGACTACAGGTTTATAAGGCAATTAGCGATGCTGATGGAGAATGCCCAAGTATTTGTGTGCTATAGAGGACTCTGAGGACGGGCCACTCCAATGGCTAGCTCAGGAGAACTCTGGGGAGGGCTGGACACTGCTCTCTGTGATGGGGGGGGCAGAAGTGGGGAATGCTGATGGAAGAGGCACATGGAGTGGCTGGAATGGAGGGTCCCCAGTCACAGCACTCCTGAGCCCCTCGGGTTGTTGCTGTGGAACCCCACTCCCACAGCCACATATTGGGGAGCTGACCTCAGCCTAGCTGAAATCCAGGCCCAGGCCCTTCTTAGCACTGGTCACACCAGGGCCAAAGCAGTCTGAGACAAAGGCAAAAGCCACGGGCCGGCCGGGGCTGGGGAAATGGAAAGAGCCTGGGGTGCCTGTCAGAGAACCTGACACTTCCTACTTGGACACTCTTGGATAAGTCATTTCCCCCTCCCTAGGCCTCAGTTTCCCCCAGAGTAAATGAGGGAGGTTGGGTTTCCTTCTAACTGTAAATTTGTGATCCGAGGAACTGTGAGAGAGTTTGGGGAGCTGGAAAGCTCTGAGGAGAGCACACAGAGAGCACAAGGTGGGAAGAAAGAAGAGCAGGGGAGAGAGACTGAGACAGAGACAGAGAGACAGAGAAACAGAGACAGTGACAGGGACAGAGAGAAACACACAGAGAGACACAGAGAGTCAGAGAGAGAGGAGACAGAGAAGAGACAGACAAAGGGAGAGAGACA